AAAAAAAAAACACACTGCCCACATTGATTTACTGTAAAAAGGACCGCATTTAGAAAGCACCTCTGTTTGTTTGTTTGTGTTTGTGATTACAGTCGGCCTCAGCTCAGCTCTCCTCTCTCACTGAGCCACAGTCAAACACAGCTTTATGTGCATCTGTATTTGGAGCCATCCCACAAAAACAAGAACCAGATCCAGAGACTTCTGATTCCCGACTTCCAGGGAATCAGACGCTTGATGTGAGAGTCAGCCGCGCACTTCATTTAATAGAGAAAGGTTGTTGTTTGTTTCGCAGCTGCTTCTGTTTGAGGCTTTGAACAGAGAAACCAGAAAAAAAGTGCATTTTCAGCAAAAATGCAACAATGCCGAATGACTGCTGAAACTAAACTAAAAAAGTTAAAACTATTATATAAAAGCCAAAAAGAAAACAATAAGTAGGTCCTCTGGATGGGTTCTTCTTTAGTGAAACATTTTGTCTCTCCTCCAAGAGACTTCTTTAGTCTGAGGAGTTTCAGGTGAACTCAGCCTTAGAAGCACTGCCTCCACATAGACAAACAGGTTAGTCACATGCAAAAGAGGGCCATCACCTAACAATAAGCTTGATTAGCTCTATTTATTCACCTATTGTTAGGCGATGGCCCTCTTTTGCATGTGACTAGCTTGTTTGTCCATGTAGAGGCAGTGCTTATAAGGTTGAGTTCACCTGAAACTCATCAGACTGAAGAAGTCTCTTGGAGGAGAGACGAAACGTTTCACTAAAGAAGAACCCATCCAGAGGAACTACTTATTTTTTCTTTTTGATTTTTTCTACCTGGATTACTGAGATGCATCAGGATATTATATAAAAGCTAAAATTACCCAAACAAAAGCTAAAACATGAAAAAAAGCCAAACTAAAGCTGCACCCTCAAATAACCTAAACAAAAGCTAAAAACTAAAGCAGAAGTAACAACGCAATTCCTAAAAATTCTAAATAGCAGATCAGCAGCAAATAGCTAAAATGATCAGAACAGTACCTAAAAAAAGAGTTAAACAACTGCTGAAAGCTAAAACCAGAAGAGCAGCTAAAAGTGGAAACAAGCAAAAATAGTAGCAAAAAGTTGAGACAATTAGAATAGCTAAAACCTTAAACCAGCACTGACAGTGGGTAAAAGCTAAAACCATCCAAACAGTAGCTGAAAACTAAACTTATCTGTACAGTAGCTAAAATCTAAAACCAACACAGCAGCAGTTAAAAGCAAAAAATAGCAAAAACAATGGATACAAGCCACAATTACATTCAATAGCTAAAATTTCAAATTAGTTAAAGAGCTGCTAAACCCTCAAACCTACAGAACAATAACTTAATGCTAATATAAAAAAAATCTGTAGCCAACTTTTGTAAAACAGTATCTAAAAGCTAAACTAAGCAAAACAGTAGCTAAAAGCTAAACTAAGCTGAACAGTATATTCAAAAGATCAAATTAAGCAAGTATATTAAACTGTCAATCGTTCAAAGATTTTTAATGATTTGAAGATATCTCAATGCATTTCTGTGGTAAAATAAACTGAAAGTAGCAAAAAAAAAAAAAAATTCAACTCCTGAAAGGACTGAACTTTACTAAAACATCTGAGGCTAAAAATGTACAAGACATCTTCTGATGCATCCAAGAACATATTGCTGGTTAAGTGAAATGATCAGAAAGGACATTTATCTCCATTTTCATCTTTTCACAACGTTCTCATCCAGTCTTATCATCTCTTTCCCCCCCTGCCTCGGTGATGCAGCAGAACATCCTTTTAACTGTCCATAAATGTTCCTGTCCTCCTGGCTCTCCCTGCTTCTCTTGATTATCCCTCTGTTGCCCTGATGAAAAAAACCCAAGATTTCTACGCCTCATTTCTCCTGGATAAACGTCAGATTCTTTCCTTCTTTTTTTTCTGTCTTTGTTTCTTTTCTTTCTGCTTCTTGGTGCCTGTCAGTCGTTGATGAGGTGAATGAAGTTAGTTAGGGGGGAATAATGGGGGGGATGTGGGAGAAGTGAGACGTCTCCGTGCGCTGGAACGACAAGATGAGTGAGGTGGATGTGTGTGTTTCTCAACAGAGGAGTTAAACGCAACAGTAGCCCAGAGATCCCACTTATTCAACATTTTTAGCTGAGTGCTGCTCATTACTCACAGTTCACAGCTGCTTTTTCCTGCTCTCCAGAACCTCTGAGCTCTCCTCCAGACCTTGGATGGGTGTTACAAGTCAATGCCTCAAAAATTTCAGGCCCGTGACATTTTAAAATAAAGAACTGTCATCTGGTCACTTGTCATCACAAGGTTCAGAAAGTTGTGCACAATGAGCTGTTTCAAGAGTCAGAAACTTTTTTTCTTTCTTTTTTTTAAACTGCCTGCCTTCAAAAGACTTATGTGGGCAATTATGTTTTTGTCCATGTCTGTGTACGTTTGTATGCATATTCATGTGACTGTTAGCAAAATATCTCATGAACCACTGGATACGTGTTAATGAAAGTATCAGACAGTAATCACTGGACAACTAATTGATTAAATGTTAATTGAGATGTTTTCAAATGAGTTTCTTTTATTAATTTTTTTGTTTGCGCTCATACTTGTGAGGAAGTTAATTTTGCATCTTCTTTTAAGAGTTTTGAGGTCACTCTAAAACCCCAAAACAAACCAGTTTGCTTTATGAGCTAAAAACTTGAGAAAAAAATAACAAAGCTCAAAATGCTGTTTCTCTTTTCTTGAAACAGCAAACTTTCTGCTCTGCGGCTGTATACATATACACATACTGTATACAACTGTGTAAATAAAGAAATCTGAAGAAAAATTCCTGTTCCTGAACACAAATAAATATTTCCTGTTTTAATAAGCATACTGTTAGAGAGGATCTCTGTCGCCAGATTACTAATTGYGGAATATTTATCTTGGAAACACAAATTCAAGACCGACATGAGGCAACATTTTTTACGTTTTTATTTGCGTACTCAAAAATGTTTTATAGATTTTGTTAAGGGGAAAAAATGAAGTGTTTCTTTAAAAAAAAGAGCATGCTAAATAAACAGCAACAAATCTTTCACAATCATGTAAAGTTTCAGAGAAAACCAGTCTATAATAGCTGCATCTATTTGTAACTTTGCGAAAAAAAACCATGCTTTATGTAGACTGAAGGATGAAATAAGAGAAAAAGAAAATGGTGCCTTTAATTGAAAAGATGCAAACTGCTGGCATCGAATAGCACCCAGTTGTCCCTTGTTTAATTTAATAACAATTCTCTTTGACTGAAAAGAGTTTGAAGGCAGAACTTCTAAATAAGTTTCACAACAGACACTCCTGAGCTCACAAACAAACAGCATCATGAGCTGATTTTCTTCTGTTTACATCAAAATTTATCTGCATGCTATGGATTTTATTGATAAGAATCAAACTCAGTCACTAACTCTGATAGACATGTCAAGATTTAAAGCTGAAAACACTTATAGACTAAAACCTTTCTTTAATTTTAGTAAGTTTACTCCCAACACGGACGCAAAAATGCTAAATCAGCCTTACATCTTTCTTTTATTATCTTTCCATCTTTTCAACCTTTGTTGTCACCATCAAACGAAGGTCAGGATGATCTAAAGAACAAAAAAGTCCAGTGTGTTTTTCTAACCCTGCCTCCCTTATTTGTGCATTAACCTCAGCATTTCCTCCATAAACCTCCAGACCAGCAGCATCCCTCTGTCTCCGGCGCGGCGCGAGGACAACTACTGTTGTCTTTTCATCACAGTGTAAGCTGCTTAATCCGGCCGCCTCGTTTATTTAYACAAGAGATCTGCAGGGGTTTGCCCAGAAGACTCTGTCGCCAGTTCCACTGTGGTTACAGCGCTCTGGCTCCAACACACAGACTTCACCCCTGCGCTGCCTCCTCACAGCCAACGCATCCAATCACGTCACTGCTTTCTCATAGAATTTCCGCGGTAAATCAAACGCTGGACTTTGGGTTTATTTGGACACCTAACAGCACCTGACATGAGGGTATAGCTAGGAGAAAGGACAAGCCATGATTAAGAGCTGAAGCGCTCAAATAAGAGTTGCATTTTCTGAAAAAGGTGACATTCGTTACACAGAAACATCTCATTTGCCAAAAAGCACACTGTGATATCTGTAATCCATCAAGTGAATTTCAGTTCTGCTCGCTTYGAAGCCAGTGACCTGAGCCCACTTRCAGCTAACTTTGATTTGTGACACAAAGCCAGTTCAGAAACACCAGGATGGAGGAATGACGATCAGAACGGGACAGATGCTTTCCTCCTGTCTGCCTCCAGCTCCAGCCGCCCATCACGCTAACTTTCCCTGACGTTTTTGGGGCTTTCAAGATGGGAGTCTGCGGCGGTCGGACGCATGCTCCACAGCAGCCTGAAGCTGTGTCAGTAATGGCCGTCTCCTGTTATTTTAACCATTAYCATAATGGCAACATTAGTTCCAGGGCCACGCTTCCCTGCTCCCAGGGATCTATTGTTTGAAGGCACCAGTCAGGACTCCTCCTGTGGCCTCGGATTTAACTGGTCTTTGAAGACACCCGCAGTGGGGGCAGTGGGTAATACAGACAGGCTTTTCATATGTCTAATGTTAGCATGACTTGTGTGTTTTTATATTTCACTGCGGTGATCCACATGCTGGACTATTTGTGAGTAATTTGAATTGTGAGAAATTGCATAATCGCTTCCTTGTAACTCTCAATTTGTCAGCAGTAATCTCGTCATTTTTTTTCTCACYTGCTCCTGCCATGTGTTCTCTAAGCTAAACAAATCCTCAGGTCTTCAGCTGGTGACTCACACGAGAGAGCGTTTATAATTTTCTGTTCATTCTGGAAAATGTTTCACTTTTGAAACCAGACCCTTAGGTATACATGCAACACATTCTAGTACAAACTGTTTCACACAMTCCAAAGACAAAACAAATCTTTCAATGGCATGTTTGGGAGGTTTAAAGTTACTAAATCAATGTTTTCTCAGCGACATGCAACCAACTTTTCAATATAAGTTTGCAGCAGTTCGCTTGAGATAAATCTGGACTCACCTTGCCACAACAAACAGACTCCACTCAGCAGGTGACTGTAACGTCCGTTCGACATGCTTTCTGCTTCTGCACACTTCATTCAGACAAACAGATCAAAAACTACAAGTTGGGTTCGCCAGGAAGCCGAGTCACAAAGAAGATCCCATCAGCAACAGGATATCATCATCATGACAGGAGCTCATACAGAAAGAGTTCAATAATCCTTCAGAAGAGTCTCTGGTTTCTTCTATCCCCACTTCTTAGCTTCCATAGTTTGAGTTGTTTTTTTACAAACGGTCCTCACTTGAGACCACTTTCAGCTGTAGAAACAAAAACTTTCTCTTTTTCTTTTTTTGCTGCTTCACTGCTTTGCAGCACTGAGCTTCTGCTCCCCTCGATGCGTGCACGGCAAGTCTGCCAGTGCATGTGAGCAGGAGCATTTTGTGTGTGTGAGCGCTCATGTTATGCTCTTATAGGTTTGAGCTGAGAGGAGGGAGCAGGCAGGGAGACGGAGGGAGGGCAGCGATAGAAAATGTTTTAGTGTGTGTGTGTGTGTGTGTGTGTGTGTGTGAGGAGGTAAAGGAGGTGTGTGAGTTCCTCCAGTAAAGAGTGTGAGGAGATATTAGAGCAAGGTGCAAAAAGGCAGTGTGTGTGTGCAGCCACACAAAGCTGCAACACRTCACAACATTTGTTATGAGCAACTTGTTCACCTGCTCACTTACGCAACGCTGTGTGTGTTTGTGTGCCTGGCTGTTATCACAAACATCTCATAAATAAGACTTTCAGGATGTATTCATTGGATATACTGTATGTCTACAGCTGTTTGCAGTTTAAGATGGCCACCCACACAAAGGCTAYAACTTWGTCAAATTTACAAAYGCAGAGCTAAAACTTGATGTGGTAGTAGCTGAGAGTCATCCACAAAACTAAGTGTGACAACTCACAAAAATATATGAGATTCTTCATAATGTTTTTTTAAAACACAACATAGTCTTAAATGAAAGTCACTAGGTTAAATGCATTCTTTCAAGGATTGCTAYTCCTTTAATTTAATTCATTTGTRCTTTTCTGCATGTATATCAAAAACATCTTAGTGGCTGATAAAAACTCTATATATTCAGGGAATGTGTAAGTTTACTTTAATTTATATGCCAAAAGATCTGTTTCTGGAAAGTTATTTTATGTTTTAAACATTTCTGATGCTGTTTCTAATGTCCTTAACATGTAGATTTCCATGATTGCCATTTAAAATAGCAAAAACTGAGTAAATTGCATTGAGAACATAGAAAAAAACAAGTATATAGACACAAAATGAGTGAAAGATTTATTTATTTTTGTTATATCTTTGGTGAAAAAGAAAATCTAAAATGAGAAGAATGATTGCGGACCTGCTTTTGCTCACACTTGTATCACATGCTATCAGAAAAGCTAATGCACACACACACACACACGTACAGACACACACACAGATGCTGCAGTCTCAATGAATCATGGGCTCAGTGTATRCATGCGGTCTGTTGACACTGTTGACCGCTGCAGAGGTAAAGAAGGGTTTCAAAGTGCTGCCAAGTGAGAGCTGGCAGCACATTTACAACGAGTGGGCTGCTGGCAAACACTGAAGTTTAAACACACACTCACCACCATTACACACACACACACAACTAATGGTCAGTGCAATTGGATGGAGTAATTTTACCACCGGTGCTGTGTTTTATATGGCACATTTGGAAAACATAATCTTGCTTATGTTCATATCTTTGTGCCAATTGTCAGCCTGCCTACACGTTTACTTCCTGACTCAGGTTTTTTTTAAGCATCGGAACGGTTTCTCACAGCCATTCTCATGTTCTCATGACCCCTAAAGACAAGACTACATTAGAACATATGCAGGATTTGTTTAGTTTGGCGCAACAGAAAAAATGTCACTTTTTCTTTGGATGAAAACATTGTTGCCGCAGCCCATGGTCTAATTTAAACTTCAATTCTAAGAAAAACAATCCTGTCATTTTGTCGCTGACTTCTTRGTTTGAAAATATTTCATTCAGCGAGTTGTAAAAAAAAAGTAGCATAATAGTTCTTTTGTTGTACTGGACTTTTTTTTAATCTAATCTATTTTACAAAATAAAATTACTTTTTATTGTTGACTCTCTAGTTAAATTTTGACGTTTCTCTTTAAAGCTTTTAAAAATTTGGGTCATTCTTCAAACCAATTTGCTTCAGTGTTGAGTGCACTTCAGGGCCCACAGTTGCTGGAATTTAGTATAAATATCTGGGAGAGCAATAAATGTTAAGACTTACATTAAACATCTGATTTTTATATAAAGTTTTGAAAGGTGCTGATGTGGAAATATATTTGCAGCCATTCCTCACTGACAAAGGCGTTAAATGAGATTTCTCTTTTAATGTGGGGGAAAAAAGAGATATATCAGCACCTTTTATTCGGCTACTTTTCCTTTGAACATGTTTGTCTTTGCTGCCAGACATCACTATTATTTTCTGTGGAGATCCTAATCTGATGGTTGATCAGTGCCGCTGGCTAAGTTCTAACTTGCTGTGACAGACCCCACAGAGGGTGAAAAAAAAAGCGGGAGGACGCGACTCTGCTGATCTCTGATCCTGGATCTGACAGCATGGCTCCCTCAGGAGGACACTGCCTGGGGTGTCAGCAGCTTTGATCCACTCAGGGTCCTCTCAGGAATGCACAAACACACAACTGTAGCGCATGCGCGCGTAAATACGGTGGCTCTGATGGGTGGTTTCACATCTTTTTTTAAGTTTAATTCTCACTACCTTGAATTTCTTTCCTCTAGCTTTGCTCTCACTCACATACCTACACAGGCTCACTGGATGGACCCTGTTGGCACAAGAGTGCAGACTCTGGCACGAGTCACTGAGGAATACACAACCAGAGCTATTTTCTAATCAAATTATTTCTCCATCTTGTAACTCATACCTTTCCACTGAGGGTGAGCTATCAACTTCGGTGGGCTGAGTGCGTGGTGTGTGTTTTCTTGGGCACAAATCCTACATCTTAGCACACACACACACACACATATGCACACACCATATACACTATGCAGTTGAGAAATCACATCTCTGCCAACGGGCTGCATATTCACACCCAACTTTAGAGTGCATTCATTCAGCTTGGTTAGAAGCATCAGCGCCCTCAGTTGGGCTGCGGCTTTACGTGCAACGTTTTCTTTTGTTTTAGGTTCTTCTTTCTTTTCTTAGTTCACTTTTCTTCCATTTTATAAAGAAGCAGTTTAAGAGCAGTGTAAGAAAAAAATTTCAAGAAAGCAGAACTTTGCTTAGCAGATTTAAAGGGATCCCTGATTAGTAGTAATATTAGACTTTATTTGATAAACATATATTTTTACTGAGCAATGAATGTAAAAATGTTGTACGCTGTTTAGTTATGTAAATTTTTAAAAATATATTTTAACAGGGACAGAGCCATTTTATTTACACACAAAGCATTCTGGGTAAATGATGACGTGGATAGGTTCTCGGTGTGAGTGAGCTACTGTATATCCACCCTGAAGGTTAATCTTGGACAATATCTGACTAGTGGCTCTTTTAAATGAAACCAGAGAGCGTATGTATTAGCTCAACGCTAGTGCGACAAACAAGCTAAACTGAGGTCCTCCATCCATATTTTCAGTT